CTCTGAAGAGCATATGCGGTCCAGAAAAGGCCAGGTAAACGGCAGGCAGTATTTCTGGGCCACATACTTAGAGAAGAGGGCTTACCCTGAAGCAGGGCACTAAGGGAAAAGGTGAAGTAGGTAAGGCCACCGTGGCTAGCCGAAGTAGGTGGAGCAGGGCTTGGGTGGGGGTGTGGTGTGGTGGGAGTTCTCACAGCTGTGGGTGCTGTCACAGGTGCTGTTGACCTGACAGGTTTCTGCAGTGGCCTGGAAAGAGCCTGCTAAGATCCTTATCCAGACAGGAACAGAACTGGTTTCTCGACTAGCAGCGCCAACAGGGAAAAAGAGAGAGGAAGCCAAAAGGTCAGGAGGGCAGTGCCAGGCCCAAAGGGGAGTGAGAGGACCTGCACAGGGCACCCTTGCTGGCCCCTGGCGACTTTCAGTAGCCTCTGCAGCGGCCTCTCTCTGCTTTGTTTGCCCCTACTTGCCCATAACTGAATCACTTTCTCTGTAGTCACACCTGTCCCCGTCCCGTGTCCCCTGTCCTGCCCAAGCAGGACAGACAGACAGACTGCTCAGGCCTAGCCTGGAGAAACACCAGGTTGGACTCAGCCCATTCCCCAATTCAGGAAGGACAGGGTCAGGACACCCCCACCCCACCCCCACACGACCTCCTTAGAGCCGTTTCCTTTCTTCTCTACCACAAAGGCCCTGGCATCCAGTCCCATCCATCTTGGCCAGTAAGGGCCATAAGTTCTTTGTCAGACCCTGGGGTCATAGCACCTGGCCCTTTCTTCCTTGCCTGTCCCTCTAAAACTCTCAGCTCTCTGGGGTCTAGCTCTCCTTACTTTCCTTTACCCTCCCTGGCCTCATCTCCCTGCCCAGTTTCCTCTCTTAGTCTGTATTTTTCTCCGTCTGTTTTCTCCCTCTCCGTCTAGGTTGTGTGTGTGCATTTGTGCGTGTGTGCACACACTATTCTCCCTGTACTTCCCCTGCCCTGCCACTTTTTCTTTCTCACGATTCCCTGACTCTAGCTCTCTGCTTTCCCACCTGTGGGCTCCTCTACCTTGGCCATCAACACCACACATGGTATCGTTGCCTGGTGCTGTCTGGTGCTGGGAATCTCAGACGTCTACTGAGCCCTGTTCTGGGTCTTCTCTGGTCTCTTCATCTGTGTCCATAATCACTAGCTTTTGTCATTAATGGGCCTTTCCTTAACTCCTGACTCCTGCCTCTTGGAGGGCTGAAATAAGGGATGTCTCCATTCTCACCAAAGCATTGATACTCTGCCGTGACTGGCAGTATCCCTACCATCTCTTCACACAGGCCCTTTCCCTTGTCTCTGCCCTTTCTCTGGATGGCTTCCAGGATGCCATTTGTGTGAGACACTCTGCTGTCTTGGAGGCTTGGTCCTCTTGCGGTTAAACTCTTGGAAAACTGGGTCTCAGAGAGAAAAGCCTGTACCTACAGAGGCAGTGCAGAACTTAGGGATGTGCTGGATGGGGGCCTTGGAGGCCCTAGTTCCCAGCAGCACAGTTGAGGGAGGACTTACTCTGGTAAGCGGGGAGGAGAGGCTTTGCCGGGCTTCTGTGGCTGCAGCAAGGCAACACTCTCACAGCTGAGTCAGGGGGGAACACCCTGCTCCCTCCCATCCATCACCCTGACCCTAGCTGTGAACAGAGCCCAGGGAAGGGGCAAGAGGGAAATACCTCATAGCTCTCAGGCAGTCCGACTGAGGAGCTCAAATCCAGGGAGCTCCAGGGGCAAGCAGCATGGAGGCCATTTTGAAGGCTGGGGATAGACAAGGTAGGAAAAAAACACCGAGGCTTGGAGCTGCATGTAGACTCCAGCAAGAAACCAGTGTTGTTTATCTATGTGTTTGCTTGTTTTGTTTTCTTGAGAGAAGGTTTCTCTGTGTAGCCCTGGCTGTCCTGGAACTCACTCTGTAGAGCAGGCTGGCCTCAAACTCAGAGATCCTCCTGCCTCTGCCCATCAGCACAGGGA